CTTGGTTAGCACGGCTCTTTTGGTCTGTCATTGGTGCTCTGTCTGGGATGGACAGACGTGGCCTACAACCCTCCAGGAAAAGTCCCATGATAGATGCTAAGAGAACTGGGGTAGTACAGGGAGCTAAGCCTCCTTGCTTCGATTATGTACTAAATATACTACGAGGAGGCGGAAAAGCATGTAGAGGGAATGCTGTTTGAATCATACAACATGGTGACCCGTCCAGTACCCAGGAAGGAGAGACCCTGGCTTTGAACAGTGAGCTTCTTAAAGTCCAAGAGGAAGTTCAGAAAGGGAGGTCCACATGTTGCTAGGAGCCACAGACCAGGAGAGAGGTATCCTGTTGCCTGCCCCATGAGGACTCAGGTTGGCACGTCAATCTCCACGCTACATTAACAAACCAAAATACGTGAGAAAATTACACTCTTCCTCAGAATAATATGTCTGTGGGAGAGACTTGTTCCTGAAACAGCTAGGAAGCAGGTGGTATTTCTCCCTCATTTACTTACAACATTAAACTGAAAATTGCTTCTCACGAGGAATTTCTTTTATTATTCCATATCAAATTTTAAAAAATGACACAAGAGTATAGGAACCCTTTTAAAATCTCTGGGTATGGGTGGGGGGCACTGTTCTAGTACCATCCAGCACCGTTGCCCAGAGGCAACAATATAAAAATATATCAATGAAGACAAGGTCATTCCCATAAATGCTGCATCAGTTTAGAAACTGAACTCACCTCTGATTTCAAAAGGGTGATTTCCATCCAGAAGTAGAGCTCCCACTGGGAGCTCCTAAGTTACTTTGGAAATTATTTTCAACCTGAACAATTCCACATAGGTGAAATGGGGACTAAGCTAATCTAGCAATTAACACCACTGCTGGGGGGGTTTCAGTTTAAATGCATTTTCTAAGAAATTACTTGCATTTGGACCCTAAGCTCTACTTGCTGTGGCTTATTGCCCATATTTGTGTGCTCATTAAAGCCATGCTAATTCTCACATCCTGTTGAGCCCCTCCCTGCGAGTGCCCTTCTCTACCTTTCAAATGCTCACAGCAGCCTCTTTCATAGGGTCTTTTCTTTCCCAGTCCCCTCCACATTCTGAGCCCTTTGCTGCAGTGTGCTATTTTGGAGTCACATAATTTGGCAGTTAATGACACTTGGATTTGGCCTGCTCTTTAATACCTCCACGTGGTACCCCTTTCTCCCCTGGTTTTAAGTCCCATGTTTGGATTTTCAAGAGTGTCCTGGAGTGCTGAATGCAAGTTTGGAAAATATTTTGTGGGTTTATCGTTTGTTCCAAAAGAGACTGCATTCAGTAAGAGAAACTCAGGGGTGCTCAGAGCCCAGGCGTTGAAAGGAAGAGCTGGGGTCTGGCCAACTCCATTACCTTCCTCTCTGTGGCTTAGGGCAGTTTCCTTCTCTCCTCTTCATACCCTGACTCACCCTGAAGATGAGGGCAAGAACGGTTACCTCCTTGAGGAGAGCACCTGAGGAGTCAACAAGACAACCGACATAGCGTGCACAGCGCAAAGAAAGGCTTGTTACGTCCTGGGCACCACAGAAGGGGTATGTGCTGTTTTCAACAGATTTCCCCAGGGCAAACTCTTGCCTGAACCATGCAGCAAGGAGAGGTTGGGAGAGGTTCATGGTAGGGCTGAGTATCCATCCCTAGAAAGACTGCTTTGCTTGGCATTCTTCACAATACTTCAGAATGCCAAAAATTGTGAGTTGGATGTCTTCTCTTTGAGTGTCCAGTAACTCTAACTGGATGTAGTAGCACACACCTGCATACCCACACTTAGGAGGCAAAAGCAGGAAGATAGTTGGAGGCCAACCTGGACTACAAGTGAAATCTTGTCTCAAAAAACAAACAAAAAACCCAAGATGGTAGGATGTGCTTGCTTAGTATGTGCATGGTTCTAGGTTTACTCCCCAATACTGCCAAAATAATAAAACCCATTTTCAAGATATTATTACTAATTAGTTATTTCCTTGAGCTTTACTTTCTGAATTTAGGGTCAGATTCCCTTTACATAAATAACTGAATTTTAATTTACTTTGTTTTGGTTTTCCAGAGTCACAAATTTTCAGCAAGTGATCTCCCAGTAAGGTATATCCAGTGACTATCTTAGAAATAGATTCCCATTCTTATTGGTACTATTAAAGCATTTACAGTCAAACTTCCCATTTTCAGGAACAAGCTACTTCATTTCCTTGTGCCTCAATTTCATCACCTATAGATTGAGGATCATAATGTAAACTTACAGGTTTAAGTTAGACACAGAAAATACTTAGAAATTAGCTTTTCAGCCGGGCGGTGGTGGCGCACGCCTTTAATCCCAGCACTCGGGAGGTAGAGGCAGGCGGATCTCTGTGAGTTCGAGGCCAGGCTGGACTGACAGCCTCCAAAACAATACAGACAAACCCTGTCTTGTAAAACAAAACAAAACAAAAAGCTTTTCTAGCCTTTTGAAAAAGTTGCATAGAAACTTCTAAAATACAAACATACATAAAAGAAGTTTTAATGGAGTTAAATGCGGGTATAAAACTTCAAACTCCAAACCATATGCTACCAAGTAAGACTTATAGCATCTCTTTTTGAGTTATTAGTCTTATAACCCTGCCCAAACCTTACAAGCTTTTCCTATGTTCTTGCCTATCCTCCATAATTTGGTGGTACAAGACTCTATTGCTGAAGGCAACATACACCCAAGTCATAGAACATGGAGAAATCTAGCTGGTACTCAATTGGAACTTTCACTCCTACTATCAAGTGTGCATAGTGCTGGAAGGTACTATGTATGTAACTAGAGGAGAAAAGTAATTGCCAGTCTCAACCAGCTGTGAACACTGCAAAATACAATAACCTGCTAGGTAAGAAGATATACCTACCAGTGCAATAGTGGAACAAATGTTAAGGGAGTAACCAACTATTTTAATTTATTCATTTTTTATTGGATTTAAGACCTACTCTGTGGGATGAAACCCATACCCAACACTGTCAATGAGACTAAGAATATGAGACTATATAGGTTTGAGGACATATAGTAGAAAACTTACTACTATTATTCCATACATAGCAATACAATGACTCCTGATGACATACTGCTATACTTATAGATCGGTGTTCAAACCTCACTAGAGAAGATTTCTCTTGCAGTGGATGGCAGTTGACACAGAAACTCACAGCTCTTGGCCCCACTTCTTCCTTAGGTAGAGTGACCACTTTGGTGGCAGTATTGACCCCATAGAAGGGAGGTCTAGGTAAAAAAAAAACTATGTCTTAAAAATACCCTCCATGGCCGGGCGGTGGTGGCACACGCCTTTAATCCCAGCATTCGGGAGGCAGAGGCAAGCAGATCTCTGTGAGTTCGAGGCTGGGCTGGACCGATGGCCTCCAAAACAATACAGAGAAACTCTGCCTCGTAAAAAACAAAAACAAAAAAAAAATACCCTCCATGGAGACATCCAGAATAACACCTCAAAATTCTTTAACTTGTTTGCATTCCGACTTGAGAGGACAGTTCTTGGAAGAAAATATGCTTACTTTTCAAAGAAAGAAGGAAAGAAAGAAAGAAAGAAAGAAAGAAGGAAGGGAGGAAGGAAGGAAGAGCTAAAATCAACCAACCAACCAACCAGCCAGCCAAACAAACAAACAAACAAACCCCTCTCCAAACTCTTGAAGATATTTCCCCAAGTAAGCTTTCTCTGAAATATTTCCACTTCCTTCTTTTCTTACACAGATAGATCTCTCCTTTGTCTTTTTATCACATATTCTGATGTTTATAAATAAACATTATTAAAGTCAATCTTTCCAACACTTAAGATAGCTTAAAAGCTATAAATACAAATGGAAATATAAAACCCCTCCCGATAAAATGATGAGCAGAGGTGAATGAACTTAAAGCCACTCCACCAGGGAGCCCCAGGAGCAACGACACAGACTGATCTGAGAGCTAACTCATAAACTGACACGGAGGGTTGGGGTTTAGCTCAGTGGCAAATCACTTCACTAGCGAACACAAGGCCCTGGATTCAGTCCCCAGGATGGCACAGAGAGGCTGGGACATGTTGAAGACATGGGATAGATTCTAGGTCACCAAAATACTGGATAACTTTGCTGAGTGTGTTGATGCACTAAAAGTGGGCTGGGAAAAAACAGGAGAAAATTCAGACTGTGACAGGGCCCATACAGGTACAGGGAGGACTGTTACATACCATGGATAAGAAATACCCACCGTGGCTGGGCCATTGGTGTGGAAGCATTTGGCATGACAATTAGAGGCTGAGGGTTTAGAGGCAAATGTACTAATTCTGCAATGCTGTAAGCTCTCCAACTCCTTGTTCCTTGTCTGGAAAGTGCGGTTAATAATGCAGTGTAGAGGGGAGTAAATATCTTATATGAAGTGCTCAACATCATAATTGACACAAAGGAAGCATATGCAAGACACTCAGTGGCAGCCGGGCAGTGGTGGCGCCCGCCTTTAATCCCAGCACTCGGGAGGCAGAGGCAGGCGGATCTCTGTGAGTTCGAGGCCAGGCTCGACCGACAGCCTCCAAAACAATACAGAGAAACCCTGCCCTGTCTCGTAAAACCAAAAAAAAAAAAAAAAAAAAAAAAAGACACTCAGTGGCTGTGCTATTCCTGAGATGGGTTTTTTTACGTCATAACAACCCAAGGCCACTAAGCATCTAGATCTCCCACCTCTCTGTCTTCCTTGGCCCAGTTTTGGTCTTACCAATAGCATTTTGACCCATTGGCTGTCCTGTCCCATGCACGGTGGAAAGAAAATGGTGACCATGCTGTCAGGACTCCCCAGGTCTGCTGGTTGGTTTAAGACTTTGCATGACATTTGAGCATTTGGAGATCCTTGTGTACAGAGCATCCTCATAGGACGTATTAATTAGTGGTAAATGCTTTGAGAGCTTAGAGTCACCCTGCTTTGCCATCAGCTTGACCCTCGCTCAACAATGATTCTCCTGGACAATGTCTTACCCGTGACATGGAGCTTTTCATCAGTGACCTCGGCCTTCAGATAGATCCGCCCCCTCTTCTCTGTGTGGTCCATTCCGCAGAGGCTAGGGACGTTGATCACGCACTGCTTGTGAACATTCATGTCGCAGGCTGTGAATCAAAAAAGGCAAGGGGTGAGGTTGGCCATATGGGCTTACATCACTGCCTTCATGGTTTGGTGTCTAGGAAGAAGTGGGAATGATGCTTCCCCTAACGTGATATCTTGCTATAATGTTTCTGGTGACACGAACTTCCTGTGAGTGACAATACCCTTAAAATATCCATCTCACATTTATTCAGTCTTTACCACAGCCAAAGAACCCATGTTGTTCTTCTGCGACTGCTTCAAATTAGTTGCCAAAATCTACACAGGCGAATGCATACAGAGCTCAGACTAACTACTTAATGGTTTATGTACACATAGGTATGCAACATGCAAATTTATAACAGAGGATACTTTTTTATTTCTTTATTCAGGGAATCACTTCTGCCTTTCTGAGCTGGCCACCAAGGAAGTGGCAATCTGCGGGCTGAGTGTAGGGAATACCTAAAAACTTTCTTTCCCTCAAGTAACTTGGTTTTTTTGAGAAGGTGTAGGTATGTTTCCTTGGGGGGAAAAAGGAACTTATGTTTGATATTTTAAACCTGTCTTCAAATATTTAAATATTAATCCAAGTAAAACAAATACACGCCTGGCATAAGCCATTCCTTACACTGACATTATGTAGGCGAGACAGGGGGAGGATATGAAAAAGATCAGTCCTATTTCTGTGAACCAAAGAAACCCTGAGAAGGATCCCCAGGGCTGACTACAAACACGAGGCTGTGTAGGTGTGCTGGCTCCGCCCTCCTGGTACCTTGGGCTTCCTAGAATCCTCACCCACTCTCCTAGGGATGTTAGCAAGATTAACCTGCAATATTCAAGGCAGGGTCTGACTACCCCTTTCCATCCTGGTGCTTAATCCCAACATGGCAACATAGCGTTTTTTTGAGGGTGGGGGAGAGTCATAAGTAAGACGTATTTGCTGTAATTAAACACGGAAACCTGGACAATGACACAGCAAGAGAAGAAGAGCCAGTGACTGCACAGATGTGGGTTCCCTTAGGCGTCTGTTCCCAAGGCTCCCTGCTCAAGATGCTGCAAAGGCCTCACTTAGCCATCCTGATGCCATCAGCTCATTCTCCTCCTACCAGGAGGGACCCTGGATACCCCAAAGTACAAGAAAAAAAGAGAAAAACAAAACAAACAAACAAAAAAAGCAACCAACAAAAGTAATGACTTTCAAAATCGTTCAGTGATGGAGTCCATGTTTTCCAAATGAAATCTAAAGCAGAATCCTAATATGTAAAACCAGATGGATACTATTGTATAAAATTTATTTTTAAGTTCAGCTTACTTATTACAAAGACATTCAAGGGTATAAAGGACAAGGACATAAAACCCTAGGACAGATGGTTTGGGAGGCTAATTAGTATCTGCCATGGTAGAAATGCCTCCCCCAAAATTCCTGTGCTGAGAATTTCACCCACAAAATTCATAATAATGGCAATTGTAGTGGAACCCTTGGGAGGTAGATATTAGTGTATGAGGTCATGAGCACGACAGAGAGGGAGTCCTGGGTGGTATTATGGCTTTAGAAGCAGAAGAGAGGTCTCAGCTAGCATCTTAGCTTTCCATGAGAGGCCCCCCACCATCATGTCCTATACTACAGGGCCTATACTACATACAAGCTGGTGCTTTGTCCTTGGATGCCTCAGCCTCCAGAATTCTGAGACTAAATGAACCTCTGTTCTTTATAAAGTGTCTCATTTCAGATTTTTTTGTTACAGCAGCAGAAAATGGGCCAGAAACTGTCTGAGGCAATTCATCTGTGTCTACAGTGTATTAAAATGACACAGCACCCAGGATCCTTGCTCCATCCAGAAGAGAATATGCACGTGGGAACAGGAAGGAAGAGCGCACTTCCTCTCCCAGCAGATTCCTCAGTGGAGTCCATATGGTGGGGAGGAACTTGACGGCAAGTTCTACCTCTCGAGTGGGGCTGGCGATATAAACTTCTCAGTCTGTCTAACTCTGTCAAGGTTGACATGTATGTAACACATATGAGTGTTCATGTTTGCTCCATGTTTTTTTTAACACTTATTAATTGTGCTGCTGTGTGTGTGTGTGTGTGTGTGTGTGTAGGTCAGAGGACAATCTGTAGGAATCTGGTCTTTCCTTCCATCATGTAGATTCCAGAGATTGATGCCAGGTTGTCAAGCTTGGTTGCAAGCATCTTCACCCACTGGACCATCTCTCTAGCCCTGCTCCAAGTTTTAAAATAGCTAAAAATACATTTACAAACATACTTAGGATTACCATTTTTAGAAACACTGAAAATGATGTGTTTGTAATCTGAGTGTTTCTTGAAGCACAGAAGCTGCTAGCCCAGATGACAAGGCCATTAGCCTGCACAGCTGGATAACCTGAACAGCCCCCGGGCTCTGAGAGACTTTCCACGGTTCTAATGCTCATATATCCTAACTTATGTAAAACACCGTGTTTACTTCATGCAGGATACAAAGCTTTGTGGTCAACCTAGTCTTTAGGAATAAGTGTTTTCCTAACACTTATCAGTAACAAGGGCTTAGTAGCTGCCTTTTCATGTCCTAAAGTATACATTTTTATTCAAGCACCCACACAGGTAAATTCGTCACTTATCAATAACAAGGGCTTAGTAGCTGCCTTCTTACATCCTAAAGTATACATTTTTATTCAAGCACCCACACAGGTAAATTCGTCACTCGAGAATTAGCAAAACAGGAAGTTTCCGAGGCTACTTTTCTTGCCCTTTGGTATTGAATAAGGATGCACAGGACTGAGGGGGAGGAGGGAAACAGCCTCCCGCCCTCCGTGCCAGCGGACCTCTGCGATGTCATGCATAACTAGACATGCTATAGATTCCATCCATTTGTCAACGGGCAGGGTGAGTGAGCTCAGGATGCTCCCCTGGTTTTCATGCTCACTTTAGCTTCAGTTTTAGCTTCAGGAGAAGCCTGCTGGATTTTTCCACAGTCCACCCACTAATTAGAGACATAGGAAGATAATGACTATGGTTGCTTAGCTTATTTTGAAGCCAACCAAATGTGGAATCTGGAGGTGGGGGAGTCTTCTGTGGGGTTTGAATAGCCTGCATTTTACAGGGATTGAAGATTTCTACCACACAGACACACAGATATAGACAGACACACACACACACACACTGAAAAAGTCACAGTACCCACTAACTTCATTTATAAACCAAATAACTTTGGGGGTGCTCATAATTAGACAAGAAGTAGCTTTTAATAAACAGAACCTGGAGAAGAGAGCAAGGCATCATTCTTTGGGCCTGGCCTTTATCTGAACCTATTCTGTCTGTCGGTAAGCTGCTGCTGAGAAGTTTCTAAAACCTTGGCACTTAGCACACTCAGGAATGAGTTGCAGATCCTGGCCATCTACTGGAAAAGAAAACTTACTTACTGTCACATTTCATCCCCTGGTGGATAAGTCCATATAGCAGGGACCCACAGTGGTCACAGAAGGTAGGGCTTCCGTAAGTGTGGATTTTGAACTTGTGCTTGCTCCTGGGGTCCTGGAGGGAGAAGAAGAACATCCATTTCAGGTATGAAAGGGCTGTATCTTTGGTTAAGTCAAGCTCATGTCTATTTTCATTGCAAAGCTTGGCTAGTTCTAGACTGTGTATGCTGCCTAGAGTCAGAGGAGTGTGCTTGGTGTGTGTGTATATGTATGTGTGTGTGTCTTTTTGACATATCACATTTTAATATAGCAGATACTCATGTTCCCTCACTTTAAAGCATATAATTTGTACATAGCCAGTGACAAGGTTTCCATGACTTGAAGCTTACTATTATCAAGGTATAGAAGGGGTCATGCTCAGTGCTTCAAACCATTCCTGTCCCTGTCCCCCCAATACCTAGCAAAGCTATATAGTGTCTGGTATCCTTGTGGAACTGAGCTAAAGGACCTGGGATCTAGATCCTTGGGGAGACCTCTTGTCTTCCAGAATCCTGATAGACCGTGGAATCAGATATACTCTGTGATTGACAGGACCTCTTGATTGTGTACTATTTCCAAAGATTCTGTGCATTTATCTGGGGGCAATGTCAGGGGCTAGACGAAAACCAGAAACCAACTGGGGGAGCCCTTCCCTAAGCATAGTGGCAGGCTCATGACTCTCTCTAGCAGACTGGACAGTGCCAGGGTGCAGTCAGAAAGCTGTTCTGGGTTCCCGTTCTTCAACTCACAGGCAGAACAATAGAAATTATACACAGCAAGCCATGGAAGTCAAGGGCCTGGGTTCTAGAGTCTCTGGCTGAATCTTCACATGTCTCAGAAGCGTGGATAAATGGCTTGCTCTTCCTGCATGTATGTGTGTGTGTGTGTGTGTGTGCGCACACGCACACATGCATGTGTGCATGTGCCTGTATATGCCACCTTGCATGTGTGAAGGTCAGAGGACGACTTCTGGAGTTGGTTCTCTCCATTACTATGTTTGATCACTATGGGATCAAACTCGTGTAGTCAGTGATACAAGCAAGCATCTTACCCACCAAGCCATCTCTCTGGCTCAAGATTGGTAATACTTTTGAAGCCACCCACTATATGGCCTTCTATAAAGTCCCTTCTTGGGTTATAAAATATCTCATGTCCTTGCAGGAGTACTTTCCCCTAGCTGGCAATGGCTTCAGACACTGGAACAGCTGATCAGTTTCTCTGATGTCTGAGGCATGGGGCAGTGTGCTGCAGGATCAGGCTAGCATCAGCACCAATTAGCTGGACCCGTGTTGACAGGGAAGGTTGTGTTCTACAACGTGGAGGGCAAAGAAGATGTTGGGGAAAAGAAAACAGCCAGGTGCCCTGCAGAAATGTGGCATCAACAATTGACAGCAAATCGAGAGTGGCGGCTCACTCCAAACCCTCTGAAGGATGCACAGGGCAGTCAGCCCTGGGGTGGCTGTCCTGCCAGCTGCCTGTCACACAGAGTTTTGTCGACACGGCACGTGGGCAATGGGCCCCACTTTCAGGAAAACCTAACTCTTATTCATCTGACACCCATATGGCATCTCCAGGTTCTAACTGCTGGGGGATGGTGAAAGAGAGGAAGCCATTACTTCCACCTGCTATATGTACATCTCTGGAGAGCCACCAAGCCCCAGAGTCCTTCATATTCATGTACATGTGTGGCCCTGGATCCTGCTTATGAGTCATGATGGCCACAAGTGCTCATGCTAACTCCAGTAGCACATGAGCTCATGCAAACAGTTTGCAACCTGATAAGAGCTGGACAAACATAGAAAGCTGTCACCGCATTAGCCATGGAAGTAAACTTCACGAAGCCCAGGGTTTCTCTAAAATACTTCAGTGGGGTGGGCTACAGTGGATGCCTCCTGAGAGTGGGGTGACTCCAGCCTTCAGGGGTGGTCAGGATGGAGGCTTCCTGAACTCTGTGTCTGGCCCTCCCAAGAAGTTCCTTGGCAATCACCACACGTGGTAAGTTTGAAACTGCTTGGTGGTCTGCGTTACCCCATGCACGGCCCCTACTTAAAAGGTCAGGATGATGCCATTGCCTGAACAGAAGAAGAGGGAGGTGTGAGCACAGAAACTCATCCAGAATGATGAATCTCACCAGCTCGGACAGGAGAAAATCCCTTGTTACCTAAACGGGACTCACTATGCTTTACAGAAAGCCACTGGAGCAGAAACTCTCTAAGGCTGTCTGTATTTCTACCACGGCCACTGACGGGCAATGCACATGTCTTTTCTGGGTCTGTTTCCTCATCTGGATCCTGGACCACTGGGGGTGGGACTAGCATTTTAAATGAGATTTTACAGAACCCTGAGCTTGCCAGCAGGTGCCTAGAGCCACCCAGGGTAGAGAAAGAAGAGAGCAAAGGAGGGGAGGAGAGGGTACTGCTCAAATTAAAGTTGGAAACAACTGTACTAGATGGTCTCTTCAATACTGTCTTGATACTTAGGAAAAGAAAACACCAACAAAACCCTTTTTTATTTTGAAACCATTTAAGACTCACAAGAATTTGCAAAACTAGTACAGCCTGTTCCTGTATGCTCTTCACCCAGCTCTCTCCAGGAGAACATCTTACATAACCATAGCACGTTAGCAGAGCAGGGACGCCGCTGCCGCCAAGCTACCAGCTGACGGCAGGCGTCCTGGGGTCTCCAGACTTTCTGTGCATAAATAGAACAAGAGGACTTTCATTGTACGATGTATGAATTAAATATACTGTGTACAGGATGGGAACACAGTCCTGTTTGCTAAGCAAATATCACGAACCTGGTTAGAACAACAGCCAAGGGACATCTGCTGCCTGTCCATGAGATTCCCTAATTGCTAGATCTCACATGAAGGAGTTAGGGAGGGTAACTCCAAAGATCCACTTAAAAGTAGGAGTGGAAAATTTCTCTGCAAGTAAAGGAAACACACACTGTGTCTCAACCTCTGTGACCAGTGCTTTGGAACAAAGTCATCCCGAGTCTCTGGCTGACTGAGGGCTCAGCCCAGTGTGTGGCCAGCCTGGGTCTTGGGGAGATTGAAAGGCACTGGGTTTCCAGGTGGAGAAACACCTGCTACAGAGAGCACAGACGCCTGAGTGTGCTCCTGCCTAAGCATTGCAGGTCCTTGGGTCCTGAGCAGCTTTGGGACTCTCTGTCACACCCATAAGCCCCGGCACCTTCATCTTCTAGGAGCTCCCAATGTAGTTCACCTATGCCTTTTATTGTGATGGCTTCCACTGGCGAGAGCCACCAGGATTCTACCTGTTGCAACTGATACAGGGGTAGCAAGAAAGACCACTGTTAACTTTCAGAGGACACACACACACACACACACACACACACACACACACACACACACACACACTCCAACCTCAAAAAGAGGAAAAAGAGCTCCAAACTGACATTGTCAAATTAGCAACTATGACAGAACCAAGACAGAGTACTAAGTTTTAAGCGTAAAGTTAATCTCTGAGCTCTCTGGGAAGCAAGGAGAAAAGGCAAAGTAAACAGAGGAGGTTTCAGCCGGGTGGTGGTGGCGCACGCCTTTAATCCCAGCACTCGGGAGGCAGAGGCAGGCGGATCTTTGTGCGTTCGAGGCCAGGCTGGACCGATAGCCTCCGAAACAATACAGAGAAACCCTGTCTCGTAAAAACCAAAAAAAAAAAAAAAAAAAAAAAAAAAACAGAGGAGGTTTCTCTGTGATTGTAAATATACCTGAGTCCAAACCTCAGCCCAGCTCTCCTGCAGAATCATTTTGTCTGCTGCACGGTGCATCTTCACCTAACACATAGCAAAGCAACCGCATCTTAACAGAAATGCACTCTCACCATGCTCTGCTCGAAGGTTCTGCAGAAGTGGGTCTCGATCTTCCTAATGCTGTGACCATTTAATACAGTTCCTCTCTAACCATAAAATTACTTTCATTGCTGTTTCATAACTATAATTTTGCCACTGTTATGAATTGCAATGTATTTGATATGCAGGATACCTGATATGTGACCCCTGTGAAAGGGTCATTTGAGCCCCCCAAGGGGTTTTGACTCACAGATTGAGGACTGCTGTTCTAAAGAAAATCACCCCTCAGGTAAGGTGTGGAAAACTTGGCCCCAGCACACAGAGAAGGGTGTGTTATAGAGTAAAATCCCCTATGACCAGGTTAGTAGTCCTTTCCCTTTAGTGAAACATGTGTAAATGTTCCTTTTACCTTCTTGGGCAGCCTCTGCTTGAATGGAGTATAAAATCTGCTGTCTTGTATCACATATTACACTATAATAAATTAGGCAAATGCTCGACTCAGGAGTGGCTGCACTGAAAACAGAGACTTTGAGTACACTGCTTCACATCAGCAAAAATAAAATCTCACTCACAAATCTAGATCTGGATTTCTTTCCTAAAAAAAAAAACCTGACCAATGTGTGTGTGTGTGTGTGTGTGAATCTTATTTATTAGTTCTAAAATATAGTAATTCAATCAGCTTTCCCTGGAAAGCCTTCTCAACATCCCTTTCAAGATGTTTCTAAGACACCCTCCTCCTTCTCCATCATCATCATCATCATCATCATCATCATCATCATCATCATCATCATCATCATCGTCTCATCACCATCATCTCCCGAAATCAGTTAAAAACAAGCTCTTAGTTCTGTCACCACAGATTTTGATGCTGGCAGAGCTTTGGACTTCCTAGATTCTTCCTTGTGGAACTCTGTGTCTGTACTGAAGGTAGCGTGCTCTAGGCGACTTTGCCATCTCAGTCTTCAAGAAAGGAAAGTGGTCCAAGTATGGGCAGAGTAAAGTCTCTGGAGGAAAGGATGTTCCCTGAGCTGCAGGAGGCAGGCAGCTGTTAAGGATGGAGATGAGGATGGCCTATGTGAGCAGACATTTCACCTGCCCTTCTCATCTGATGAGTAAGGAAGGCAAGCTTTTGGCTGAGGTGTGTGTGTGTGTGTGTGTGTGTGTGTGTGTGTGTGTGTGTCTGTATGTGTGATTCCATCCTGAATTTTCTATCCATATTGAATTTCTCCCACATGTCCTGGAGGTTTCTCAGAGAACCCAAAT